TGTTTAGTGAGACAACCAATGGTTATATAAATAAAAATAACATTTATGTCAGCAATCATTTGACGTGCTTTTCAATGAATGAGTAAAATATAGTGAGAATGAGAAACAGGGAGATCGGGATTGGGATAGGGATAGGGATAGGGATTGGGATAGGGATTGGGATAGAGGCGGTAGGGCTGGCAATGACCGCATGAGGGAGGATATCAAACCTTGCTTTCGGTAAAACATACCAAACGGTGTATAATATGTATAGCAAACTGGTTATGCCGGCGCTGTCTCTCCAGTTTATGTCATGTTATTATTCCTGATAAATATATCAAAATATTTTTGTTGTTTTTATGTTTTAATCGATTTTTCTTCTCTGGTGATCGGCTTTTCTTACGACATATTACTTATTAATATTAATGTTTGCATAATCTTAGTCTTAATATCGAGATATCCTTATTTTTACCCCTTTTTGATAGTATTTAACTTGTCTTATATTCAATTTTCTTTTCATATTAAATGAATTAAATTTATTTCTAAAATAAAAATACGAATTATATTTTAAAATTTTGATTTAATATTTTGATTAAAACCGCAAAACAAATACAAAAATTATTAAATATTTATTATAAATACTATGTTATTAAAATTAATAAAATATTTTTTTTAATAGAACTGAATTAATTATTTGAATTAATTATTTGTAATTATTTATACTTACAAATTGTATATTAATTTTAAAAATTACTTTTAAATTTGTTTAATGTAACTTAATTTAATTTAATATTACATTATTGATATTTTCTAATAAAATATTTTATTAATATCTGAAAACAAATATCTTTTAATTTTTAAATTAATCAATACTATAATTTGATATAATATGATGATACTTATTTTTATTAACGAGATCTTTGACTTGTATCTTATATTTTTAATAAAGTTTAAATTTAAACATTAAAATTTGAAAATATATCGATTTTTTCATAAGAAATAATTTATTAATTATATCATAATTATAACCCTTTTCCATGAATCTAGTAAAAGTCAACAAATATTTAATATGCAAAACACGAATTTAAATTTAGTATTCAAAAAGGTTTTTCACTGAAAAAAATTGCCATAAATTTTTAATTATTTTTAAACTACAACTTTTACTATAAATACGACAAATATAATCAAAACGAGCTAAGAATAGGAGGAAATAATGTATTAATTAATTCAATAGTTTATAGATGTTTAGTAAAAGTATATAAATATTTTTAGAAAAATTAACACATTTTTTATTTTAATATAAAATTTTAAAATAAAATTCATAGCATAAAATTACTGTATAATTATACAGTGTTTCCATTTAATGCTTTATTATTTAAACATTAGCTTGAATTTATGTATTTTTACTAACAAATTTTTAAATATTAAAATTTTTGCTTTTTTAACTAAAAAAGTTCCGCATTTAAAATACTGAAAGTAGACAATGAAAATGAAACCATATTTATTGTATCTTAATATTAAAATTTATTGTTTATTATTAATTACAATTTTAATCGCTATGTTTAATAATAGAAATAATTTTATAAGTATAGCATCAGAAAATATTATTAAGATTGTTTATTCATATTTTATACTATAATACAGTACATGTGTCTGTCAAATATAATACTCATTGTATTTCAAAGTAAATTATACCATATATTCTAGTTTAGAAAATAATTATTCAAAAATAAAACTATTTATTTATATAGTCTTGTCATTCATGAAGTGATTTTTGAAAGTGTTATTTATAGAGATTTTTCTATAACAATGATATGATTGTAATATAAATGCAATCATTTTCTTATGGGAACTCATCAGTTGTATTCAAATAAAATACATTTCATAAGTATTTTTATATTTTCATTTCATCTCATTTTCAAAGCCATGAATTGTTTTATATTTGATAGTTTTATGAGTTATACGGTATCTATTGTCAAGGTTTATATGAATACCTACTTTTGATGATGACTTACATTAAAAGTGTATTAAATATAGCATGATGATTATAATTTCTCCTAAATTATACTATAATTGAATTATAAAATACAATAATATAGCAGCAAAATATAGTAAATGATCTTTATAACAATTGATCTGAATTTTAAATGCAAGAAAGACACATCTCTTATAATATCTATAATTTCAAACATTTATTTGATGATAAAATTATAAGCTTTCTTATTATAATAGTTAATACTTAAAGAATTTCACTTTTAGACTAATTATTTACAAAAATTATTTATACCATTATTATTAAATACACTAATTTTAGTTTAATTCCCAGAAATGACTCTAAAATGAACACATTTAACATACATGTTATAAATAAGTTATAGTTTTGGGTCATAACTGATGACTTGATATAATGGCAAAACTCACGCATATTTTAATACGAGATTTGTTTCTAATTAAGAATTTTTATGAAACTTAATAAACGGATCCAAACACCGCTTACAGACTATTTCGGGTAAACATTCATTTAAATACATGTCATTAAATACAATTATCTTTTGTTTGTGTCAAAACTTGTATATTTAAAAATTGTATATAATTTTAATCATAGATAGGATTGGAAATCAAAACGAGATGATTTTGCCTCAGACTATGTACAAGTTATAATAATATTTGTATCATTTGAATGTTAACTGATTTCATAATTGATTGAAAAAATCTATCAAAAACAATAATTATGTCTTGATTTAAATAAATATAATATTAAACTTTACATTAATTAATGCTTTAGAGATATTTATGTCATTGAATTGATATAATATTTTATTCATGTAATTTTTGCTGAATTAAAAAACTTTTATAAATATTTTCAATCCTTCAAACTCTTTGGGGATTTTATTTTAGGATCAGTTTTGAGGGTTTAGTATCAATAATACCATTGATAGACACATTGATTGAGAAAGTGGTTATTATTTTTGGTTTTACAATGTAATACAAATCAATCAGACTTTCAAATCGATACAGTATGATTTTACTATTAATAGAAATCATACTAAATATTTCAGATAAAATGAGATTTTAAATATTTTATTGAACGTTACATGAATGATATGTTAAAGATTTAAATTCAATGCTGAGATTGTTATCAATAAAAGAGTTATTTTCGTACAGACAATGAAACAAAACAAAAAACTAAATATTGATTTTTGTTACATTTGCCGGGAATTTGCGCCGATATTCAGTTAAATCTGAGACTAAAAACACGTTAAATAATATTTAAATTAGATTAGAAAACTCAATGTAATGGGGAATCGATAAGCAATTCTAGCGACCAATTCATCATTTATAACATCAAAATATTGTAAAGGATTGAGCCCTCGATTTCATAATCAAACGCTAATAATATAGGCATTAGAGGCGATGCCCATCACGAGCGCCAATAATAAGTGTAACTCTATATTATAATTGAGATATTTTTTTCTCTATCCTCTCAAAAAACTTTAACAAAGCGTGAAATGCAAAGACTTTTGACTTCATAATAGCCGACAGCAATGGCATCGCATAATATAATGGACTAAAATTGATTTTTATTCAGCAATTTTTGTGCTTATTTATTGTTTTATTAATTTCTCGCAGAAAACTATAACTCGAGAAAAAATCATTTTGAGTTAAGACTGAGACAAAAATTGTTATCTTAAAAATACTTTTCATTATTTTTCATGTGTGCGCCAATATAAGATTAGTTAGCAAATTAAATGCTAAACTTTTTTAAATACGAAACAAAATATGTATCGCAGATATTAATTTTCATATTTTTATTCCCAAACAACAAAACAAATTTAAATAAAAAAGGTTAATAATTCGTGAGAAATAAACTTTTTATTTATTTTTAGTGTTTTGTTAGCTTCTTTATAATAATTGTTTTTTGTTGTGTTTTATTTTCTCATTAATATTTGAGTGAAAATGTCTAATTAGTTGTTATACTCACTAGTTTTTGAAATGAAATGTCAAAAAATGTTTGCTTTCAGTAGAAAATTGAAATTATGATCGATTTCGCTATTATTAACACTTAACAAAACAATACTAATTAAACTTTTTCAATGCGATACTTTTAATTTATTTTCTAAATTATACGCCTGTCCTGAACAATTAGTCTGAGAAACAGATTTCAATTAATAATATACTTAATCATAGTTATTTTTGAAATAATTTTAATATACGTTTCATACTAAAAATATGTTGACATTTTTACCCACTTTGTGCCAAAAGCAAACCGATTAACTATATTGGATCTAAATATTAAAACTTAAATTTAGAAAAAAAATCCCAAACATATTAATATTTAAGCATTTTATTTTTACTACCTCAAACATAAAGTAATATAGTAAATTAAATGAAGCAATAATTTTATTAAAACTTTATGACTTTTTAAAATATTAAAAACAAAGAATAGAAAACAAGTTTATATTGTTTTGTCTTTATTAAGAAATTAAATATTAATAAATTCGACGTCTTATTTGATATCAGTTTGTGTTTGTTATTGCAACCCAAGTATATAATACTTATTATCAATTTATTGTGGTATTATAAATGTCAAAATAAAAAAGTTTATTCAAAATCTTGTGGGACTAAACTCATACTTCTGAGAAACATATTTTAATATCAAATTATTCAAATGTACTAAATTATATATTTCAATCAATTAAATTACAAATATTTTAAACTATAAAAGCACATGAAATCTACCTATGATCTTTTGTGTGTGATATGATTGTACGCCAGATAGTTGTTTGATATGATTTGATAGTACAGTTTGTACAAAGTATTTTTTACTGGCTTATAATGAAGTGAGTTACGAATTATATAAATATAATTATCATAAATTTATATAGTTTTAATTTATTATAATAAACATTGTTTACAAATTGTCATAAATAGGTATGAAATAGTGGTCCACATAATACTAATCGTATCAATAGTGAGATCGTTGGCCAACAGAGATTGCAGTCAAATATCAAACAGTGATTGCGTCGATAATACTGTGAACACAGAGTGCGAGACATGTCTTCGCAATCTTCGGTCACCACAACGTTATGGTAAACGTATGGATGACACCAATGGTCTGGAGTCACCCACCGGTCAGACTAAACATAAATTCCGGATCCGACACAACCCACACCTTTTCAAACACTTTTTAAGCCCAAAGTTCAGCAAACAGTCTAAAAATAAGTTTTCAATTTAATATAAAAATATATTTACTGTAAAAATATTGCTTTTATAAGAAAAGTATTAATTATAAATGATTTTAATGTTTTTCAGATGAAAATATAAGTAGAAATATAATATATTGTGTGAATACAATGCTATACTACTGTTGTATTGAAATGAAATCACATTAAATGTAATTTAGATCCAATTTAGATATTCCTGTTAATTAAGAGACTTAAATAAAATATTCAACTGATTCCGTATAATATATGTGTTCACTTTATTTGACTTTCTTGTTTTTAATGGGAAAATTTGCAATAATTTATGGGTTTATTTGCTTAAAAAGGTTCCCATTTAGTAGGTGTGTCCTGTATATAGTAGTATTTTAAAGGTCTTTAACAAATCTAAAAACACATGCATTTAGATTAAAATCTGATTTTATATATTATTTTAATTGAAATGAATTAAAAGTTATGTAAGATTTGTAACAATAATTCATATTCATGTTTCCTATTCAAATTAGTAGTGATAATGAAGTTTATTTTGAGAGATAACTGTGCGAAATAAGTCGATTGACAAGATTAGCTCATATTACATACAATAAACATATGTTACCAAATAATATCATAACTACTAATTCACAAATTCAAAATAAGGCCATTAACTCGTTAATTAATTTCTATATAAATATGAATTTTTGTTATAAATATTTATTCAAATTGAAAGCAACGGTGCTGTGAATCGGAAAAACTATTAGAAAACAGGGGTTTAAATAGAAAAATAAAAAACAAAAGTACTCTTAAAACAAATAATTATTGGTGTTTCTGTGCAAATCAATTCAAAAATCTCAGTCTTATTTGTGTTTGTAATTAAAGGTAATTAAATATTTTAAAAATTGATAATATAGACAATTGTCAATATAAAAAACAAACAATTCTGTCAACTCTAATACCATTAATAATATCACAATGTATATTTTACATAAAGTTATTCATAAATGCATGAATTATACAGTAATGCACAGAATAAGTGCAAACAAACTCTTAAAAAAGTAATCACAAAAATATTTTTACTTTTGTCAATATCTTACAAAACAAACAAAAATGATATGACAGAATTTACCAGAAAAAACCAGAATTTTCTGTTTCATCGTGAATCAAAAGCTTTTTTATTGCTTACGACTAAAGTATATAAAAGTTAATTTTCTAAGAGTAAGAAAAAATAAAAATCCTGGCTTTGTAGCAAATTCCTGGTATTGCTCATATTTGGCTTATAGGTAATTATTTGACCAACCTATACAACACATTATGTAATTTCACACAAATAACTGAAAAAAGTGCAAAATATGTGAAATATAGTAAACTGATTACTAATCTCCAAAACTAAAATCCTTAGAAAGTATCAAAGTATTTATTTGGAAATGTTATGAAACTATATTATTGCATAAGTAAGTAAATATGAATAGACATGGTACAATTGATGAGGCATGAGATAAACTTGGAAATAATTAAATACAAAATTGCAAAAACAATAATTAATTTGAAAGCCTAGTATCAGATGTTGGGACAGCTGTCGTCCTTCTCGTAGGCGGACTTCCAGATATCACTCAAACACACGGATGAGTGGAAGCGATAGAAGAGCATCAGTGGTAGAGTGGTGTGTGAGATAATCATCCAGGTCATTTGGCCGTAGTACTCCTCCATGCCGTGAAACCTGTCCACAGACTTCAGTTCAAACGTATTCAATATCCAGAGAGTGATATTTAGGATGAGCGCGAAAGTAATGAGCTCCCGGCCCGGTTTGAGAAATCTTAATTGCTTGGAGTTAGAGCACCGGCGTATGCCGTCCACTATGAACGGCGACTGAATGAACACTTGAAACATTGTCAACACATACAGTATTATCAGGAAAATACTGTTGAAACTGCTGTCATCGATGGCCGCCATTATTAAGTGAATGTAATGGATCAGGAAGAAGGGAATGGGAACTAAGACTAACATATCATCCATGGCTGTGGACGGGTTGTCCAGGTGGTGGTGACTCACAATATCAAGTTTGCGCATTTGTTTGTAGGCCAGGGGTATGATAGCGCAACATAAGACAGTGAGGACAGCCGCTTGGGCCGAATATATGGAAACTCCGAAGTTTTTATAGCTCTGAGTCGTGAAGAATATAACAATTGTCACAAATGTAGCCACAAGTGTGGATAGACCGCCGAAGAGTCCACGATTGCTGGCGTGACAGTCGGCGCTAATGGCCATTGAACTATAGTATTCAACCTCCTGTTCCCCAAATTCATTCTCAGACACTTCAGCCCTCATGTAATGCAAGTGTGAGTTTGAGTGCTCTTTACCTGAAATCAGATTAAAACGAGCGATAATCGCATTATAAGTTTATTTTGGTAAACCCTTTAAGTGATAATCTTTATATAAAAAATCTTATCGATCGGTATTAGTACAAAATCCGATGCAATCGGTTATCAAATAAAAATCTTAAGATAACGTAAAACACATTTATATTTAGAATTGACTCAAATAAATGATAAATCGCTTACCAATATTTGTCCAGATCATATACCAAACTGAAGCCATACATATATTGTACTCAACAGTAAACGGGTATAAATACGGCAGTGAGTACATGGACTTCTTGTCAATGATAGAGTGGTCCACACAATATGACTCTTGTTTTATCAAAGCGGTGAACATTTCTCCATTGAGTGTCAGGTTCTCGGTCTCCACGATATGCACGTAATCATCGATGGCTTCATTAATGATTGTGGAGAACCAGGTGGACAGGGATACGGCCACCAAATGCATCAATGCAAAGCTGGCCATAGTTCGGAAACGGTTTATAAGTATCTAATTGTTAAGAAATCATAAGAGTACTTGAATAGTAATGGTATTAATGGTATTTAAATAGCAGAGTATAAATGGCTTACATTTGAGTACTTGAAGGCAATGAAGAGTTGATAGAAAGAGAAAATCATTCGCACGATAAGGAAAAGTATGGTAACGCCGTCCTGACACTTCTCCGCGCCGTTTATAAAGTAGTAAATTTGGGTGAATAACTGAACCCCCATATGAACTATACTTCCGAAACAGAATACTATGAAAATAAAAAAATTACTATTTTTATAACACTTCCAAACATATCAAATAGTATTAATAGTAATTGTATACAGTACAGTACTGTACAACTGAACATTAGGAAATTAGGAAATTAGGAAATTAGGAAATTACAACTTTTATGATTATCTAATCATAATTACCAGTCATTCCACACTTGAGGTAAAAATTTCCCGAATGTTTGCCGTGAATGAAACGATAGGCCGTTTCAAAGTTCTTAGAGCCGGCCGACCCAACCGAGTCGGCCGACGACTGGGGCTGTTGTTGTTGTATTGTATTGAATATGACTGCAGTCGTGATACTGATGTTGTCGTCATATTGTGATCGCTTTCTCTCGGCGTTGGTCTCGGGCTTCAAGTACTCGATGGCCCACCGCTTGTATCGATGAATATCCCAATGAAGAAATGCTATCCACGCGAACCCCATGGAAGTGATGAAAGTCATGAATGCGTGGTTGATATTACTGTCTTCGGTGTCCAAATCATAGATACAAATGAGTGCTGCGATCACTATAATCACGAGAGCGTACATCACAGACAAGAAGTTCACTAATCGTATCGTCATATTAGGGGACGACTCGAAGTCCTTATAACTATTATCTTGACTGATGTGTGATAAATAGTCGCCCGACGGGCCTATACTACAGCCCCCGATGGACAGGTCGTCGCCTCCATTCTTTCCGAGAGCACTACTTTCCGATACCGACCGATTCAGTCTACGGTTGCCTTTATTTTTATAATTAATTGTAATTATTATCATTGATTTTTGTAACAAAATACCGGAACTCCTTGTAGACGATTGGCTACCAATAGAGGAAACAGAGTCCGTAGTGACGGACGAGGGCTGGCGTCTCGTTCTGCCTGTCGGTGGCGTTAAGTACTTAATTGATTGGCTATTATTTTGATGATTGTTTGCCATTAAAGTGTTGGCGGTCTGTACGACATCCGTCACGTCAGTCAACGCACTCCTATTGTCTTCATTGATCTCTGAATCGGATCCGCTGTCGATCACTATTTGCGGCATTTCTAATGAATATTGTTCATAAAAGTCCGTCTCATTGCCAAAGCCAAAGGATCGGGGTCTTTGCCGGTCATTACTGGAGCTGAAGTTGAAGAAAAAGTTTTTCTTTTTCTACAATAAAAAGTTTTTTTATAGATAGAAAAGTTTGAGTTCAAAATGTGATCACAGTTTAGATTTTGATAAGAATCTACAGATCAGTATATTTTGTGTGAAATGTGCGAAACAAATACCTCTAGAGATGTGACGGTAACTAACGATAGCGACGCCGGTCGAGGTCTCGGCGGTCGAAGTTCGACATCCATTGCGATATGAGTTTCAGTGAATGGATTAACCGAGTGTTTGGCAATTGTTATATTAATTCATTTACAGTATATTCACATAAAATTACTAAAAAAGGAAAGT